CCATTGGCCGCGCCGCCTGCCCGTCGACGGCTGCCACCGCCCCGCGGCAGGGCCCGTCACGTCCCGCACGGAGCCGCCGCGCTGTGAGCGGCCTCGCTGCGCCGAGCGGGTGGGCCCCGGGGAGCGGGCGCGGGGCCCCCGGCCGGGCCCAGCCGAGCCGCGCTCCCCTTCAGCCACACACGAACACACACCCGGCTGCCCCGGCACAACGTGGAGGCTGCGGCGGGACGGCCCGTGAGGCGCCCGCCTCGCCCGAGCAAGGAGCGTGGGGCAGCAGCCCAGCCCTGAGTGAAAAATACACCCGTGTGCGAGAGGGTCCTGTGGAACATACGTGCTGCGTGGGTGTGTGCACGTGCGCCGCGGCCAGCGCCTTGCGTGGAAAAGGAGCACGCGCTTCGCCCAGGGCTAGCTGGGCCCTGCTTCCTGGTTGCGGTGGGGCTTGCTTTCAGCCATATTCACCATTTCAACGGATTTTTGAGAGAAAAGTGCTCCAGCAAGGCGAGCGGCTGCCGCCTGGGGAGGCGGGCGCGGAGCAGGGCCCCGGGCAGGGCCGGCGGCGGGAAGGAGCCCCACGGGAGCAGCGCCAGGGCACACAGAGGGCCCCGCGCGCCCCCTCAGCGCGCCGCGTCCCTGAGCGTCCTGCCGYGTTGCAGCGTGGGCCGCTCCTCAGGGGAGACACTCGGGTCAGCAAGGCAGCCACCGCCTTCAGTGACATCAGCCACGCGCGAGGGCACGCACAGGCCAAAGCACCCCATGTGCACAGCAGCAAACGGGATCCACGCCGGCGTACGGCGCTTTTTTAAAGCGGCTTTCGTGGCCTCTGCTAGCAGTAAAAAATCAYGGAGCAGAAATGTCACAGTGCATGGCCTGAGCTCGGCAACCTGAGCAGCCCCGGTAACTTAAGCTGCGAGGCAGCCCTGCACCCARGCAGTGGGACACCTGCTAAGTGCAACGAGAAGAGGGGGCTCCCCTTAAAGGACAACAGCGGTGACTTTGGGGGATTTTACTGCCTTTGAGGGGTYCCTTGCTGCAAGCTTTTGCCTGCTGAATCGAACAGCGAAAGAGGAATGATTCCTGACAAAGCAAGACACAGAAAGATGCAGGCTACTTCCAGCACACTAGGGTCAGTGTAATAAAAATACTACATAAAGAGATTAAAAACAACCAGGACACTTTTACTAAATAGCACTGTACTGCTAACCTATACACACGCACGCACACACACACATACAGGCACACACACAAACACACATTCGCATAGTGTTCTATAGTAAATCTTTATTTCTATCTGTAACTTAGTGCAGTAAAGATCTGGTGTTTGGGAGTAGAACTGCAACCACAGTTGATCAGGTTGACCCTGGCTTCAAACTTGCTTGTTTTTTYGTTGGAATTTTCAAAAAAAAATGTGGGGAGAAGGTGCAGGAGAGCTGGGGGTAGCAGAACATAATGCCAGCTGAAATACAGCCTGGACGCCAGACATCACTGTGTTATGAAGAAGTTATAAAGATAGAAAATCATCAGAACAGGGGAAGTATCACAAAAGTGTTCAAACTGAAAGTTTATTCCCATGCTTGAATCACCTTTCTGTCCTTCTCTCCTCTTGTGAAATATTTAAAGAATTCTGCAAATATTTAAAGAAAAAAGGTCTATGCCAACAGTTCAAGATTTGTACTCCTAAGCCAACCAGTACAACAAAGGGCAAAGGACTGGTACCAGTAAAAAAAAAAAAAAAAAAGAGAGGAAAAAAAAAAAAAAGGAAAGAAAAGATGCAAAACCCAACCAAGACATGGCCCTTAGAACCATAATGATGCTGGGAAGCTCTTCCAGAAACGGGGAGCGAACTCGTGCTTCACGTGGCAGAGCTGGATCCCAGCTGCCGCTTCAGCAGAAGGAATGAAGCTGCGGCAAGTTCCGACAGGTCGGATGTTGGTGCTCTGGCCGAGACATTGATGTGAGAGCCACTGGACCCAGCAATCTGCAATCTGCCTTTTCATCTGTGCTGCATGATCCAGTCTCCCTGCTTTTATAACAACCATGTGCATTTTATGTTTCTACTTAAAACCAGGCTTCAGCATGTTAGGTTTTTTTGGTTTTGTTCTTTCCTCCCACCAGTACAACAATATTCAAGCACAGGTATATCTATAAGATGCAAAGTTATTGTTTCCATCCTCTAGATAAAAGGAGATTGGGATGGAGAAACTTTCTTTTCCCTAAGCAGGATCTTGCAAGCTTATGTGCCTGCATTTCAGGGATGGTGCGCCATGAATTGTGTCTGCAGTAAGTCCATTTAAAACAGGTGACTTTTACACACATATCATTCATTTCACAAGGTAGTTTTAACCTCCTAAACCATAACAAAGACAGATAGATGTGTATTTTTATTTAGGAACTACTGAATTGATCTAAAGCACAAAAGACTTCCTTGGGCTCTCAGAGCTGATGGTGCTCAGGGCATTTCCCTGTTCAGTGACCTGCAGACTGCCGGTTTCAGGTGTGCAGCTGCTTGGTTTAGCGTAACTAGCTCTTATCTTTTATGGCCTGGCCACGCACCAGGCTCTGGTCCCAGCCCTGTCCCACATCCCCATGGTGCCGGAACGGGTGTGATTCCCGGACTTTTTAAGATACAGGGCCCTCTAGGGGAGAAGGACGATAATTCAGGGAAAACGTTGAATTTCAGCCCGTGCTTGTGCACAGCTTGGATATTTCTGCAAGAAGGAGCAGCAGAAAGGGCTTTCCCAGCCTCCCTTCARTGGGAAGACGCCTTCCTGGAGCAGAACGTGTCTCAAAGGGAGCACGTTTCACCAAGGAGCTTCCCCCATCTCCATAAGGCAGCAGCAGGGTGGATTGCTGGAATTAGAGGCAAGAGAAAGAGGGAAAGTGCCTGGGATTCATCACAGGGTGGTTGCACAACGTTCGTGTTCCTGTTTAACTCTTGGAAACAGCCGGAGTCACCTCTGGGAAGATTCCCTGCCCTCCAGGGCAGGGCTGGGCTGGCGTCTTCCTGGGACTGTGAAGCAGTCACTGCCTCTGAGCAGCGCCAGCTGAGACTAGGGGGATTACTAGGCAAAAATAGTATTAGACTTATGCCTGTAAGCTGACTACGGCTTTGAAAACTAAGTGTAGTGCATGTTAAAATATATAAAGAGCAAAAATACTAAATAATACTCCCAAGGAACTAACGAACACAAGTCTGTACATCCCGTCTGCCTTCTCCTGTAGTGGAGCACCACCCTCCAATTTTGCTTCTAAACTTCTAAGGAAGTTTTAGATACACATTGCAGGATATAAGGAAGGATGTGGGATACAGAAATCTCACCTCTCTGGCAGCTTTTTTTTGGGGGGGAGGGGGGGGGGAGGACGGGGACCTCCCAGGCAGGATGCAAATTCAAAATTGCCTAAATTATCCAGACACATGGAAGGAAGGAAGGAAGTAGCCAGGAGCACCATGCTCTGGGAGTGCTTCCTGGGAAGGGGGCAGAAAAGGAGAGCCGCTTCCGTGAAGATCCCGCTGTGGCAAAACAAAGCCTCCACTTACCAGACACCCCCAACTCCTCAGAGTTGTGGAGAGGAGAAACTTCTCCAAAGCCTGCRAGGATCTTAATCCTTTCTGCCATTACATTGTCTATTAAACTTGTGGCTGCTTGTGGATATCACAGAAAAGTCACATTGGCAAGATGAAAATGGAGATTGTGTTGTAGATAGGTGTATATTGTATCCATTTGCAAAGAGCATTTGGCCCAGGACTTGGGGATTCCCAACTAGCTAGTAAATGTCTGTCTGTTGCTATAAAGATGATGTTTCACTGAATTCAGATACTCCAGTTACCTTCCCTGAAGCCACGTAGCCCTCAGGGCACTCACCTGAAGATCCAGGTGTGTTAAGGTGGAGSGGGTGCCATTCAGCACAGCTGGAGCTGTTCTATTTATTCTATAAAATATAAAGCACAGTGCAGTTGTGCACTGTCACATCAGGGTGACTTGTTTCTTTGCAGTATTTCTCTTGCAGGAGGCCGGGCTAGGAGGTGCAGTTTGAAGGAAAGGCTCCGTGTCAGATAAGGGAGCTCCAGGGAAGGAGGGTGTCGAGGGCTGTTGGGGACAGCTGGGATACCACAGCCTAGAGGCAGGTCCAGGTTTGGCAGCAGGTGTAAAGCCAGGTTTGCCRGCGTGTCCCATCCTACCGCAGCCTGGTCTGGGAGGCTGGAGTGACTCAGGTCAAGGGCCTGCTCTCAGTTACAWTCAAAAGATAAGATTTTCCATTGGCTCCAAGTGCATTTTTACTGATACAAATCCATTACATTCCAGTTGAGCCTGAGGTTTGTAGAGTGGATGAAGGACAAAAGACAGCTGAAACCAAGAGTTTATACTAGTGAAGCCGAGACAGAGCACCACATCTAGCCTGTGTGCTGCGGCACACGGCCCAGGCTCCAGCGGGAGCTGCTGCGCTCAAGTAGGTTGCTGCAAAACCCTCGCTGGATATGAACGCCAAGGAAGTGCACTCTATGAATTAAAAGAAACAAAAAAGATCCAAYCCCCCTCTGCCCCCCCAGGACAACACAAGGCAGGGTTTCAGCACAGGTGGGTGGCAGGACAGGGGGGCTGGCACCTCGTGCTGGGGTTTCCGTCACCTTCCCTCTCCCCAGGGATCCCCATGCCTGTGCACGGGGAGCCCCCTTCCCGCCGCAGCGGATCCTGCCCTCCTCCTGCCCCGAGCCTCGCRGGCTGGGCAGCAAAAGCAGCGTTCAAAAGCCAGTACAGACCACCAGGACTGAAAGCGACTTCGGACACTGCATCTTTATTATATAGTTTGTAATTAGCATGATAGCTACAGAGGCACCGTCTTAGAATAGGAAGTGTGAGACTAGGCCGGTCCGTACGCAGAGAAATGTAACAGCACTCAACACTCACTGCCCCAGGAGCGCTCACTTCTCTCCTTCCTCCATACCAGATTTAAAATATTTGGTCAGAATTTCCATTTTGAGCAGTGAAACAAACACTGTTATTTGCATTGTAAATAAATAGAATTACTTAATGTGTTTTGCAAGCTTCACTTTTTTTTGTATAAAATCCCAAGTGTCCACACTTTTAAAAGGTTAAGATTCAAAAAGTGTTTTTTAAAGCTTTGAGCATACGCACTTGGTTTCATTTTTAAATAAAAGCACAGTTTTTATAAATAGCTAGTCATAGAAAATAATAGACACACTAGTAATACATAAATTCATTTGTAACTGCATACTTCCAAGTTTTTAAAGACATTTTAAATTCCTGATTGCAAGTTGCCTCCAACAGGAGTAAAATATTTACACATTAGAATGTGCACATTTTGCCCCTCGCATTTCACTTGCGCTCTACATTCAGACTGAAAAGTGTTTTGGTTCTTTAACTTAAAGCACCTTATAAGATATTTTAATCTCAGGATAAACATTCGGTAGGTCAGTGTTAGGCTTTCACTGRGGGACAGGGGCAACAGGCAGTTTGCAGAGCTCTGCACTGGGGCTGTTCTCTTGCTCTGTCCCCCCGAGTTTGCTCCTGTGCCCAGAGCTGCGGGCGGCTCTCCTGTTATCCTGGCRTTCCCTCTCCACCACCTTGTTCCCCACCATCTCCGGACCCAACCAGGGTGCCCAGCGCTGCTTTGAAAAGTGGATCTTATTCTGCTATACTTGGACCAACTGCTGGATTCCATATTCAAGCAGAGAAAATCTTAGAAAGAGGCTTTTATATGGGCAGAGAGTTGGAGATAGAGCCATCATTCCTACAGTAAGTATCCAACCTACACACAGTTAAGGCTTCTAAGTGCCATAAAAATATAYATGGAAGGAATTCAACAAATTCTTCTCATTGCTACAGGAAGCAAGCAGGAATTTAAGACCAGGACATCAYTGGAACACCATAACCAGCACCTGCAACGGCGCCACTCTCCTCCGCAAGCAGTTATATCATGAAAACACAGAGCAGATATTAAGACAAGCAGTTGTCAGCAGAATCCAGACAGAAACGTGCAATATTTCCTGCTGTGCTTGCAGCACCCGGCCAAGAACAGCACAGAGARCACACAGGGATGAAGGAAGCTGGAACCTTCTGGAAAGGGCTTACGTAGCCTCGGAGCAGTTATGTTGTTATTTTCTAGGTAGTTACCTGCATTGTAAGAAACAGCTTTTTGCTGAACGTTGACAGCAACACCTTAAGAAACGCCTTTGTGCATCTCAGCTTTTCTTAACACCACAGATATATGCAGCTATAATCAAAAGATTTAAAAAAAAAATGTATATTCACTTAACAGTATTAAATACCTAAACTGCCATAGCAACACGACGTTTCCTAAACTACAGGCAGCAACATTCACAACTTGTTGCCCTCCTCTCTGCACTATGCCTAGTACACTGGATACTAACACATTTCAAAGCACAGCTCTGCTTTCAGATACTGCCTTCACCTGAGGAGCTCTCAAAACGTTTACTTACAAGTTTTTGCACATGAGATCTATACATKGACATCAGTCTTCAAGGTAAAACACAAGATGACAGAGATCTATTACCTGCATTCCAATTTGGATATTTCTTCTCTAAAGCACAAATAGGAACTACCTGTTCATACCATGGATGCTATTTCATGATGCAGTTCTTCACTGTTAAACCTAATAACTGYCATAGGTAACTCTCTCAGCAAAGGAGATAAGAGAACTAGGTTTCCAAAGTAGTTACAGGGTGGATGAACCACCTTTATTTCTCTTGGAGAACCTTTAACATTCATGATTTAACAATCRAAACCTCAGTTTTGAGAAGCCAGCTCTGTAACACATGAAATTGGCTTAATTCACAAAGCCTGGCCCCTGAGCATGCCAAGCTAGGGAGGCTTTGATTTATGGAGTGGATTATGGAGCATTCCGGGCACAGAGACTCGGCACATCTCTACAGGCAACTCATCTCTCTCGGATACAACGCTGACATTGCACCACCAAAGGATTCTGTGATGTTGTCAGGTATCTGCAAACACCCAATTGCAGAGATTTCACAGGTAGCTTGCGTGACCCTGATCAAAGCTATTTTCATTCCTYTAAGGAGTGTTTTTAGATGCTGGTAGTCAGTGCTAACTACTTTAAGCATTTTTACTTTTCAAAAAGCCACACATTTCAGCTAATAGCATATCATGTTTTTAGCACACTCAGATGCTGCAGAAGTTTTCAGCTTAGGAGAGTTTAGGAAAGAAGAGACCTCCCTGCCCATTCCACCTTCAGCAGCAGGAGCGTACAGGGACAGAGATGCATGGAAATAAATGGGAATATGGTGTCAGAAGGCAAGCCCAGACCTGCTCAGCCACCTCTGTCTAGCAGGAGTCCAGATAAGAGGTTTGGAAGTGAGGAGTGTGAAAGGCTGGAACCAGGTGTTTACAGAAGAAAAGCGAGGAGACATTTCTGGTAAAAGGGTCTGGAAACAGTGATCCTGGAAGTTTAAGTAAGGCACATCTACCTGTGAACACAGAACTTTCAACATTTTACAAATACAGCAATATATAAATTTTAAACTTGACTGTACAAAAAAGAGCCCAATACAAGGCTTGGAAATGAGTTTCTGGTTCCTTAATTTCCCTAATTGCATTTTGGTATTTTGCCAGAAAATGCAGTACTACAAGCTCCATGGAGTGATAACACAGCTTTGCTTGCAAGCATTAGCAGCCATTGCCCCTTTGTTTCATTAGGTTTAAAAAAATACTGGAAGGTGACTGCAAATAAACTCATCTTTGATATTAAAAATGAAATATCTATACCGATGAGAGATTAAACCCCATAAAGGCAGAAAATATCTGAAAATCCAGACTTCAGAAGTGATCAGTGCCTGTATGGACTTGTAGACAGCTGTTCTTTTTTCCTGCTCCCCCTCTTTCTTTCCCTTTCTTTTTCCCCCCCTCCAAGTCTCTCACAATGCTGTGTCATCGTCTTCTCCAAAATCTCCCACCAGAAGCGAATGTTTGTCCGGTTCATTGAGAACGATGCTGTTCACTGAACGCTTGTCTGAGAAGAGAGAATTTATAGAGGCTCTGCTGTAGTTGATAATTCGATCCATTAAGCTCAGTTTAGGAGAGCCTGACCCAGTTTCATCTATTCCAATGTGGACACTAATTTCTGATGGACTCTTGTGTCTTATTTGGCCGCGGGCCTGGAACTCAAGTTTCTCAGAACTTGGTTTCCTGTACCTAGGAAGGAAAAAGAAGAATGCAATACAGCTCAGGAAGAGTTCCTAAAATATTGGAAGAAACTGTCTTCCAAGCACTATAATTGTACACAGTCAGCACAGCTATAAATGACCCATTATAGAGTGTGGAAAGTTGCAGATTGCTCCAGACTATGATATAATCAGAAGCAAATTCCGTGCTTTTGGCCAGGACACAGAACAAGCAAAGCAGACAGGTATCATGCAGTACCGAACTGCTTCAGCAGTCGCTGCACATCTCCAAAACACCCCRGCCAGACGCACCTGCCGAGAGCAGGCGGCTGCAGCCGGCGCGTGGCCMATTCTGCCCAGCTTCCCACAACACCTGCAACGCGTTAGTTGGGCAGCAAAACACCCTGCCCAGCCCAGCACTTCCCAGTCCCAACTGTGGAGTGAGCAGCAGGACAAATGCAGCAGCTCCCTTTATTTGCTGCAATAATTGTAAGTGCCAGACGCGCTGTATTCGCTGTTGCCTTGCCCCAGCAATGCTCCGGAAAGATTTCACAGGAATATACAACAAGCATCAAGGACTTTCTCAGCACCTTGCCGTTTTGTGYATTTCTCCTCATGTTAGAAACTACGCTTTTAAAATAGCACTGTCCAAATTGTCTTAGAGCATCTAACTACTCCCTGTTGTGCCAAACYAAAACTGACAGCAAGTTTCAGCCCATCCTGAAACAAGGACTCACCCAATCTGCAAAATCTGGCACAGCCTTGCACATGTTTTCTGCTATTTAAAGGGGGAGACCTGAGCTTCAAAACCAAACAGCAGCCACACAGAATTGCTCATACTCACGTCTTCAACAGCAGAGAAGAGAGCACAACAGAGACGGAGGAGGCGGCCATCGCTGCAGATCCCATCCAGGGCTGCAAAACCAAACCAATGGGCAGGAAAAATCCTTGAAAGAGAAAACAGCAATATGAGTTCAGAGCAGGAACACAGCACCCATCTAAATAAATCCAGTGGCTTGTGGAGCAACACGTACTATTTATCATTTAGACAATTCATGCGAATTCATTAATATACTTTTAATTTACTATTAAATAAAAATACATAAGTATTTATCTGCTATCTCAGCTAAAACCTACAGGTGAATACAATATATGTAATTTCTTATACARTTCTGAGAAAGACATGCCTTGCAACAAGCCACTTATTCACAGGATCTAAGCTATGTGTTTCATGGTTCATTCAATAAACAAGCTGCCCTAGAGATATAACAACGTGATAAACATTCCCTGCAGTGTGGGGAGAAGACAGCTCACRACTACAGCATGGCACTCTGTATGTCCAGCAGAAATACAGAAAATGCATGTTATTCCATACAACAGTAAATCCCTGCAATTTTCTGTTCAAGGCATAATCTTATCAAGGGGAAATATTCACGTACCAGCAGCTATGGGAACTCCAATAAGGTTATAAATCAGAGCAAAGACAAAGTTGATGCGGATCCTTTTGACAGTCTTCCTTGATAAATCTATACTTGCCACCACATCCATCAAATCATCCTGCAAGTTGGTACATTTATGGGAGAAATCAAACAGGAATCCATGCATGCAGTGTTGTCCTATTCCCATTTTAAACTAACTACCATACACTGGACTTCACATAGGAAGTATTCCACAGGATACTCTAGTTGGCCTGAAATATAGCCCCTCAAAAAAAAAAACAAAAAAAAAACCACCAAGCTTCAATCTTACATCACAGACTGCACATGTCACCACAATCCCCAGAAATGCTGAAGGCACCACTTAGTACAACTCTAGAAAACTTAAGACTTTCTGTTGGGGTATTCTTGAGATGTAGGAAGATGGGATTAGAACTGARGAAGCAATCCAGTATGCTGCTGTAATAACACCTGCATTTGCCAAAGGTCAGCTCACTTATTCCTCCTCTTCTGTCCATTATCAAAAATGTATTTCCAAGTTATCTGAACAGTTTAGTTGGAACTATAATCCAAACAGTCAGAAAGAGAAGGGCAAAGTTTCCTTCATCAGATAACTACTACTGCTAAACATCAAGATAAACGCTCTCTCTTCCCTGCTCCAGTTTTCCCGGCCCATGGAGGCAGCACTCATTCCAGCATTAGCCTGAATCACTCAAGGCACCCTTGGTCTGTCTACCTATCATTTCCCTTTGACCAAATATCCTTCTTTCTTACCTTAATTAGAACCACATCAGCTGCCTCAATGGCTACGTCGGTGCCTTTACCAATAGCAATTCCCACATTGGCCATAGCAAGAGCTGGGGAGTCATTGATACCATCTCCAACCATGGCCACTCGCTTTCCCTCATCTTGCAGCTGCTTCACTTTGGCTACTTTGTGGGATGGGAGAACCTCTGCAAACACTTTGGTGATGCCGACCTAGAGATGGAGCACAAAGCTCTGCGTTAGCCACCAGGAACRCCAACGAGACGGTGTCTTTCTTCCTGCAAACGGGATGTAGCAGCATCCAGGCTACAAAACATTCAAAACCGCTTACCTGAGAGGCAATAGATCTTGCTGTTTTGCTGTTGTCACCAGTCATTAGGATAACTTCTAATCCCATACTCTTCAAAGTGTACACAGCTAGCTCAGCTTCTGGTTTCACGGTATCAGCAATAGCTATCAGGCCACAAAGCACTCCTAAAGGAACAAAGCACGTGGCAAGACCTTTTATCACTCTAAGGGGAAAAAACAAACAAACTTTCTTTTTGGCAAGACCAATTCCAGAAACAGTTAACATGGATACAATTCTGTGGGGCACTCAAACACTCCTCGCCAGGGCGCATTTAAGGCAATATTGAGAGTGGATTATCTAACAACAACTAATTCCCCCATTTGCCTTTCTTTCTTCTTACTCTTCTTGAATTCTTTGCATTAAGTCCAATCCCGCTAACAACTAAGCAAAGCAGGAAGAAGCCTTCCTCATTTGAGAGGATTACAAAACTTCAGCTAACGGTCACTATTTTCCCACGGTCACTATTTTCCCACGTCAGGTTTGACTACTGAGGTGTCAAATGCCTCATGGCTTTCTATTTAAAAGGGCACAAAGTGGCCTCTCGTGGAGGGAGGGCGGCAAAGAACTCACCATCAATAGCCGCGAGCACTGCTGTGCGACCTCTCCGCTCATGCTCCATCATGGCTTTATCTATTTCACTTTTAACAAGAAGGCCATTTCTAGTCATCCATTCCCGGTTCCCAATGAGAACGGAATATTTCTGAGATGTCAAAGTAGCTGAAAGATGGAAGTACAGTTCTACCATTATACATATAACTAGAAAGCTCCCTTCAACTAATCCTGGCATAGTTCTCCCAGAGGAATACTGCTATACAAAACCTAAACAATAAAGATTTACTATCTTTCTGTTCCACCTTTTCAGGCAACAGAAAGGTCACTGACAATTCTGCAATCATAGAGTGTTTCCAGTTCAATTAGCCAAGATCTATTAGAATGGGGAAAGCACAAAGTCCTTCTCTCAGTGGTTCAGAAACACCTTTTAAGGGWGTTAAGAGCTAACAAAGAGCTTCTCTTTGACAGAAAAAACAGTTTTGCAAAAGCACATGGTCATTTTTGTTCAATAAATGGTAACTTYGGACAAAGCAGAGAACAGTGAGATGATTTCTACATGATTTTCTAGCTTGATATTTAATGTGCAATTGTGTGCGCACACACACTTGGAACACTTCTCCTTATATCCCAAGMGATGTAGAAGCATGAAATAAAGAGCAACAGTATTTCACGAGGGCCTTGACGTAAGATTGGATTTCCAGGAAGGGATATCAACCTCGTTGTTAAGGGTCCTGAAGAAGGCACATAATTCTACATTTGTGTTGCTATCTACTTTATTCCATAAGCCCGCGTTAGCTTACTTGTTAGGTCAGCATCAATAATCAAAGCAGGCTGCACTGATTCTTCGGTTTCCTCAATTTGCACAAGCGTCACATTTTTAATATTATTTTCTTCAATCATTTTTTTCTTCCGGTAGAGTAATGGTTCAATATTGGTGACTTTACAGCTAATGCCACAGCCTGGAACTACCTGGAAATCTGTACATGTCCCAAGAGCTTCTGAGTCCAATTCCTGAAGAGAAAGGAGGCAGATTCAGATAAATTTTAAATGCATAGAGGCATGCTGCATTTACAAAACTCACTCAGGAAGTGGTTGCCAAAACAACCCTAAGAGGAACAAAAGAAATATCCACTCATCAAAACATAAGTTTAAGCAACCAGCACAGCTAATATGATATCAAATAATCTACGTATCTTTCTACTTTTCAGCTTTCTGATAGAATACAGTTAAGTGATGCAGGATTATTTTGAAATAATAYTAAAGTGCAGAAGGAGGGGTTCTTCCTTAACCCAAAGTCTCTTTTCTGGTAAGAAGTACTTTACCTTTTTGCAGTATTTTGTTATTGCCACTCCAAGAGGGTGTTCACTGCTACTTTCGGCAGTCCCCAGAACTGCCAGCAYTTTACTACGTGGTATTTGGTTACTCTCCACCAGGAACTTCACCTGCATGACCTCGGGCATCCCATGAGTAATCGTCCCCGTTTTGTCAAACACAACCACCTTCACCTGCAGCAGAACAGGAGGATTTCATTCAGCGATCACAGTTTTAACCTACAGCTTTGAAGAAAGCTCCACTTTTAACCAAACTTTCTACCTCATGAACAGAGTGACGTTTCGAGGTAGGACTTAGCAAGACGTCCTCGAGAGCGGCCTGCAGACTTCTTGAGAGGAATAACCCACGTTCTCACCTTATGGGCCATCTCCAGCGGCTCGCCGCCCTTGATCAGGATGCCGTTCTGAGCTCCTACTCCGGTACCCACCATCACAGCTGTGGGGGTCGCCAATCCCAGGGAACAGGGACACGCGATACACAGCACGGTGATAGAGGCCTGGAAGGCGAAGCGGATGACCACCTCTGCTGCAGAAATGCTCTTGTTGTAACCCTGGCGGCAGAAATCCCTGCTGGTTAGAGGTACTGAACAACGAAAGCAATCGCTGCACTACGTGCTGTACTTGGTGTGAAGAGTCTCACAAACACACAAGTTAAAAGCTATAACATATTGAAAAATAAAGCACAAAAGTTATGTCAAAACTAATATCCTTCATGAAATAACCAATTCTAGAAATTTCCTGAACAGCAAATACTCATAAGTTATTTCACTATAATTCTTTTAAGCTGTAGGATAATAAAAGATACTCTAACAACAATACTTGCAATAAAATGGCAGACAATACAAAAACTTTAAAAATAACAGATTCTAGTTAGTAGAGCAGCCCACCAAGAAACCTGTGACAAACAGCCCCAGGACACAAGTCTCAGCCTCTGCTCTGAGATCTGTAAGGAATGTTAATTCCATCAATTTTAAAGATGAATTTAAACAGGGCTCTGTACTAACAAAACTAGGTGCAAAACTGGGGCTTGTATCACAAGTGACTGCTTTACCTCAAAGGAAGCAATGGGAATTGGGAAGTTTTCAAGGTTGGCAGTCTAAGCTGCACTTCAACTAATTTCAGAAGCTGTGATTAATTACTGCAGATTTCKTTAAGAAGGTTGAAAGAGCACTATAGTGCAAATATAGGTAAAAACATATACATAAAATGCATATGATAGTCATCAACTGCCTGCAAGAAMAATCCAGAAATAGAACTGTTGCAGCCCAGACTAATTACTTTTGAAATATTTCAGGTGTTTAAGGGGACTTACTTACCAGGAAGTATTTTTCTACTATTTCAAAATCAACAAATCCAATAATAATCCAGGCAAAAAGGGTAACCACAGAGACAGCCACAATAAAAGGAACAAAATAGCCACTAAGCTTGTCTGCAAATTTCTGGATAGGAGCCTAGGAAGAAGAAACAAATGTCAGCTTTAGCAATATTACACTCATTCCCTTCCAGGCCTTCGGACATAGATACAATCACAGTTTCTGCTTTTCAGGACATTTGGCATACTGTATTTTATAATTATATAATTCCTATTATATAGGAATAATTCCTATTATATAGGAATTATTATATAGGAATGTATTCCTAATAACACGGTGAGATTTGGAGCAGCAAAGCACATCACAATCAGCACTGAGCGAGATGCTTTGCCACGTAACTGCAATTCCATCTAAGCAACTAAGAAGCCCTTCCAGGTGTGTTGGTGCCCTGAGGTCTAGGTGGCCTCAGGGCCAAGAAAAATCCCATCTGCTTAAATGGAAGCTACTCTACCTTTGATGTTTGGGCCTCCTCCACAAGCTTGACGATTTGGGATAGAGTTGTATCAGCTCCAACGTGGGTTGCTGAGATCAGCAGCGAGCCGTTCTGATTAATGGAACCTGCAATAACTGTATTGCCAGGCTTCTTGGTCACAGGCATCGCTTCACCTGGAAAAGAGCAACAACAGACACTGAAACACTGTTTAGGGCAACTTCTTTCTTTCCCTAATATTTATCAACTCCAACACGCAATTATAGGCAYAAGAGAATTTCAAACAATTTCAACTTTTCTTCCTCAAATTAATTTAACTGAAAAAGAACATTTTTTAACTTGTAAAAAGGAAATGCTCACCAGTGATGAGGGATTCATCTACCATAGAGTGCCCTTCAATGACACGGCCATCCACTGGGAACTTGCCTCCCGGAGTCACTTTGACAATATCACCCCGCTGAACCAGTTCAACATCAACTTGCTCTTCACTAGAATGATGTAGAGTATTTTTACTAACTAAATTTACCCAAGCAAAAAGCAGTTGTTCATATTACACAAAGCAGAAACCTTAGTTCATGCTGTTAAAGCATTYGAGTATACAGAAAATAATGGTGAAAAAAAGTTGTTTTTAGAGCAGATTTTACTATTTTACTTTCTAGGAAAATTCACTCTTTTCATCACAGAAAGAGTTAGTAAGAGGTGTCAATAAAACTAAACTTTTTTAAAAACAACTGTTTAAAATTGATGTTTACTAAACTTGCAAGCATCTTTGGAACAAGTTTATTTCACAGCTCTATAGAATGGTAAAATAAACCTGAATTGAGCACATTAAAAAGAAAAACAACAGGAGAAACAAATGACAAAGTAAGATACCTTAAGAGAATGTTATCAGGGCCCAAGGTAACAATAGTTGCTTCGGTAGCTTGTAATGAAATAAGTCTTGCGAGTGCCTCTGATGTTTTACCCTAGAATAATAATTTTCATATTTTTCTAATGATCCTATTAAAAAATTGCTTGTAAATGCCAGCTGTATATTTTYACAATTTACTCTTAATAAATGCTTCCTGCAAACAGACTTGTTATTTCATATTATTACTATTTGAGTTTTAATACATATTATAACAAAAATGATCAAAAAAATGATAAAAGTTTCTCACATTAYTTTAAGGTAAGTAACATTCTGAAGTGATACTCAAAGAGAATCTTACAACTTGTAGATATGATATTTTCCATCCAGTAAAGAAGTCAAAACAATATGTTTTTCCTGAGAGAATTTAGTTTCACCATACTTTTGAATGACTAAAAAGCTTCAGCCTTTTATGATAATGTGGGCGACCCTCCTGAGTGTCGATCACGGCACCATGCTCTTCCTCTCCTGCCCAACACTCAAGTACTTTTATTCTCCCTACCTTTGCAACATGCTCTAGCCACCGGCCCAAGGAGATGAACACGAAGAGCATGGGAGGGGTGTCAAAGAAAGTCACRGGGTTGACTTTTGCTTTCTCAGCCATCGCAACCAGAAGAATGACGAACGAGTAGACGAAGGCAATGGAAGTTGCCAAAACAATGAGCACGTCCATGTTTGCAGCCTTGTGCTTCACTGCTTTGTACGCTTGAATGTAGAAGTGCCAGCCTCCAAACATCTGCAACAACAGCAGCACCAGCTGCATTTTACATGTGTGCTTGTAATACACRGAGACAACACTTCCATAAGGTGCCTATGACTGTTTCTGAGGGTTGACATCTCTGTCACTTCCTGATGAGGGCCTCGGATCTATCCTTGGGCTATACTCCACAACACTGTGTCCCSCTCCGCTCAGCCCACCCTGCGCTGCCAGCTCCTTCCCATGCCCAACCAGGAAAGCTGCCTCTGGCCACACAGCACCCACACACCGACTGATCCGCTCCAACAACCTCAAATGCACTTTCTATCCCCATAATTAAAGTCTCTTGCCAAATTCTATTTCTTCATTGACTTTGAATGTCTAACCTCAACATGTCAGCAGGTGCCACATTGCTGCTTACCTGTACAGGGACACATAGCAAAAATGACAGAAAATTCATAACGGATAATCCTGGTAGGAGTTGACGTTCCAGGAACATGGAGGAGTGAAGGGTCTCCATTTCCTCAGTGCTCATGTTGTGATGTGCGTGAGCATCTGCAAGCTGACTGTCCATAATCATCATGTAAATCATCAGCCCCATGACAGGGATACAGAAAAACAGACTCACAAGGAATGACCTTCTCCACCTTGGGGTTAAGGGGGAAAAAAAAATAATAATTTTGCAGTCAAATGATGGATAACACTAACTAACCAAGTCCATATTTTTTAAAATCATTGATTAAAAAGGAAAATATCAAAAAGGGGAATCAAAATTGTCTAYATAGAATTTAAATTTAAATACTTACTGCCTTATTTCCTGTTTGTGGTCTAAATGACTAGCAGATCGATCTTTTTTGACTAAGGATGTAGTAAAACCTAAATCCTAAGGGAAAAAAAAGGTAGAGTAAAAACAAACAGTCAAAGACATTTTGTACTCTTCTGAAGTTATGGGCAGATTTCGGCGGGGGGGGTGGTGGGGGGCGGCAGAACTAACCATGCATTTACTTTATTTCATTAACTTTTCTAATGACTGCCTTTCTGCAAAAGATGATCAAAAAAAGGGGAATTTTTCCAAAAAGCTTTTCCAGAATAACAAAATGCTATTCTGAAATGCGGGGKTTTTTTTTGKTTGKTTGGTTTTTTTTTGGAAATGGTTCTTCCAGGGGCACAGAGGTATATAGAGACTGATGGATAACACCAAGCAACTTATTGAGATGAGAAATGGACTTTATTTGATAGTCTTCCCTTCTATAACTGATTTCAATTAAGGATTTTTCAGTTCTGGGATATAAAGCATGATGGGTATTTTTAATGAGACTTTCATGACCTCATGAAACTTACCTTTATCATTTGTACGATATCTCGAGGACCTATAAGTTCAGGATCATACTTAATGTGTGCTTTGTTAGTTGCAAGAGCCACTGAGCAGTATAACACTCCATTAGTCTTCATGAGAGTGGATTCTATTTTATGCACACAAGAAGCACAAGTCATTCCTCTCACCTGTAAAATAAAGGTTCTCTCCTGTTACCAAACCCACAGATTACTCAGAAAATACATTGTGATTAAGAAGGAAAAATGCTTTCGACTGTCCCGAATTACTGACTCCCTGTGATACACATTTTGGGAAGGGGACATTTATAAAAGTACGTTCAATGGATATAGGTAGTAAAGACAGAGTGGTGGTTGTTTTTAAATCAGCAGCTTACCACGAGTTCCAGAATTCCATCTCCTTCATCGGAATTTTCCATCACCGTAGCTCCAAATCCCAGTTCTCGTATAAGCTCYGCAATAGTTGAAGGGTGAATGACAGCAGGATTATACCTCACTTCTGCCTTGCCTGCCATCAGGGCCACAAGTATTGAATGTATGCCTAAAAGACAAAACATGCAAGTTATTTCTGCTCTAGTTTAAGGAAAACACTGTATGGAAATGAATAAATTGCTATTGTGCCATTGCACTGAAATTGAAAAACCTATCAGACAGTGCACAGAAAGAGAAACTTAGGCTTATTTTTGGAAGAGATATTGAAAACGTCCTAACAGTKCAGGTCAGAAGGACACCAGATTCTGAAGAAAAAACCACTTGGCATAACAGGACCAAGAGAATCTAAGTATTTGTGTGAAGATCACGAAACCCAAGTGTTACTCTACGGAGAGAAAATGAGTTGCCTGCTTTTAACTGTCTAATCACTTTTTTTTTTTTTTATTTTTCTTAAAAGGAACTCTTTTAAAGCTACTCTTTTAAAACTATACACATTTTTAATCTAAAAGGCTTTCCTTCAAGAAAGAACTTGAATGAACATGTATGAGAAAGGGAAGGCCTAACCAAATGTGCAATCCTACCATACACATCAARCAAAAGAAAAAGAATGAAAAGCTTTAAGTTGGAATGGTAGTTTCTTTCCTGCTAAACTTTAGAATATATCCATCTTCATTACAATAATTAAACATAGTCCATATTAATGACTCTTCATTACATCACAGTTATGCAACAATTCGTTTCTGCTAATATGATCATTATGCCAACAACAGATAGATAGAATTGTCCTGACTCGTAGAGCTAATTTAACTTRGGTGTCTCAAGTCCATGCTAATACTGTCCTTCTCTAACAGCTTTCTAACCCAGACAGAGATACTTCTGCCTCCAAGGCAGACCTGGACTTGTCATTCACATAATAAAGGTTTAATTCAGTTTCAAGAGGACCCAGACTCAGTATCTAACATTTCTCCAAAGTGTCCCAATTCCAGCTTTTGCAGGGCAGTCTATAGCCAGCAAGTCAAAGCAGCAAGAACCACGTTCCCTTTTCATTCTRTGACCCAACTGTGAGCAGACTATGTTCAAATCACCCAACAATGCTACTCCTTTTGACTAACCTGACATTTTAAAATACTGTACCAAAGATGGATGGCTTCTTTAAAAACAATAGCGAGAATTTTAACAGATTCTGCTGACGTGTATCTTACCATCTTCCCTCCTTAAATTTCTCTCAATGTTGGCTACACATGAAGCACACGTCATGCCTGTGACTTGGACGTAGCACTTGGAAATGGTCTTTGTCTTCTGTTCAGCAGCATGAAGTGCTAATACTTTGGAAGCAGGCTCTGCTTTGTGAGATTCCAGCTTCACTTCAGGCAAAGGCCGAGTTATTGCCGCGGGGAGTTCTGTGTTTGCTGCAGAAAAGATGACATTAAAAAGAGCTGTTGCAATGAGCTACCAGCTGGTATTTTAAAAGGCATAAGTGCAYGTTGCTGCAGCTTTTTAGACCAAAGCATGGTAATTGTACCTGTCCAGTCAAGCAGATTCATCCACGTTTGTAGGTCATCTTTTCTTTTGCTTACTCTTAAGCGAAAAGAGTTAGGCCACTAATTAACCTTCTATCCAACTGTATTGTTACTAGTTTTCTATTACGCCCTCCATTATATCTCTGTCCCATTCTGCAAGCCATTAGGCTGCAAACTAAACATTGGCACTGCAAACTTAGAATCACACACATTTTATTGACTTTACCTGCTGCAAAGTGTCAAATCCATGGCTTGCCAGCAAATTCAGTGTTTGCAGCTTTACAGAAGGGCTCTCAAGCCAGACAAATGCTTCTTATAGCAATTCAGGAGAAGCTATGTTTACGTAGGGGTTGCATGAAAGGAATTAAATGAGATTTGACTTCAGTCAAACCAGGTGATCTCATTCATTCCTTTAGTTACTGATCAAAAATAGCTCTCGTACTCCAATTTTSAAAAATTAATCCTAGTGAATCAAGAAATGGAATCTCAAAGTCTCTTTGGGAAGCTTCACGTAAAAGTGAAAAGATATTCGTCAAGTGGAACACCATTTAAACATCAGTACAGCAACATACTTATATTTCCAGGCATCTCAACCATCTTTAATGTAACGTATTACGTTATGTAATGCAAGGGAACCATTGCACTGCTAGCGAAGATACAAARCTTCTCTTGGCAAGCATGAAGTTCCATATGTAAACTTCCAAGTTTCATTAAACTTAGAGGGGATGGCATAGTTTTCATGTAAAGAGTTTAATAGCTGTTACCTGATAAAGATGCATCAAACCCCATATCATCTATTGAGGATCGYAAGTCTTCTGGGCTTGTTTGTAGAGGGTCATATTCTATAGTCCCATTATGATTTGGAAGAGACACACGTATAGATTTTACCCCTGCCTTTTGGGACAYGACTCCCTCAATAGCCTGCACACAAGAGTTACAAGTCATTCCTTCAATATTTATCACAACAACTTGAGTAAGGGGCTGGCTCGCGTCTTTTACAGTGGCCGGAAGGGATTTTGGTGGAGATGCCACTGTGCTGAGCAGTGCTACGTTTTCACATTCGTCGGGAAGGCTGACTTTAAATGTCTCTGGAGACACTGCCTCTATGGCTTTTTGCAGTACATCCACGCTAACYAAGCTTGGCTTGTAGGTTACAATAGCAGATTTCTTCTCTAACGAAACAACTATACTTGTTACTGATGGAAGCGCCGATATAGTGCTCTGAATATTGAGGACGCATGAATTGCAGTGCATGCCGTCGATTCTGAAGACGACAGTCTTTGTATCATTCGTATTCTTGGAGTTTTCTTTCAGGATTGCTTCGGAGCCTTTGGTTTGAGCATTCTTCAAACTTTCCAGGTTAAGAGCGCTGAGCTTGAGAGGTCTGGGCTGCTTTTTGAGAGAAGCTGTGAAACCCGCTGCTTCAATTTGGTGTTTTATTTCTTCTGGTGTAATGACGTGAGGCTGATACACGATAACAGCTTCCTGATTGTCCAGGGACACTAAGAATGAAACGATAAAAGTCAGTGCACATTATAGCCTAGCACTCTAAGAACAATCGATCTTGACAAAACTTCCCAAGAACGCTTCAGATGTTCAAAATATTTAACTACAATGAAAAGGAAGCTTAAGTGGTTTTATAAATCACAAAAATGTAGTTTATTTTTTTTTCCAATTTATTTTTGTCTAGAGCTACAGCAATTCTTCATCCCTTTACCTCCTTCCTCCTCCCCGTCAAGTCTTTCAGTAAATTTATTTTTTCTTTTTTTCGAAGGTCTGTGGCATTGTGTTTAAGTTACTTGTACAGTCAACTTTATCCAGAACTTTCAGACAAAAGGAAATATGTGTCAATATTAAYAGTTTCTAATTGAACAAAAAATACTGTTATTTAGCACAGTCCGAAGGAAAGACATAGGGATTAATAGCTATTAGTGTTATAGGGATTTTCATAATTGAAAATAAATCTCGGGATATGGTCCTTCCTACCAAAATACAAACCCATCACTAGAAGCTATCGCTCACATGACAGCAATAGCCTCACTACCATTTGAGTCCTTTTCTTGACTTCTAATCCCAATCTCAGTCCTGGGTATCCACACAGAGCTGCCAGGGGACAGCAGAGTCCACTTTAAGTGATGTTAAAATACCCCAAGGTCCTACCTTTAATGCGCTGCACTCCTTGCAACTTGCCGATCTTGCCCTCGATGGTGCTGGTGCAGGAGTGACAGGTCATGCCCTCCACCCGCAGGCGCAGCACCGCGCTGCTCGCYGGCGCCCAGCTGGCAGCCTCGCCAGGAGCTGCCTCCGGCGCCAAAATTCTTAAATCTACTCCTGGGACCATTTGGATAATCTGCTTACTATTTATAACGGAGGAAATGAAAGTCACCACGGCAGTTTTTTGGTCAGAGGACACTTTAACATCCAGAACACCTTTGCTTGTCAGGAGTGTACTACGGATCTGTTTACATGTTAGGGTCGACTCAGGAGGAATAGAAAGGAAAACAGTGTCAAGTAAAACAGGTTGTGGGGTTGAGTCGGCTAACGTAGCATCAAATCCCATGTCATTTATGGCCTCCTGCAGAGTTCCTGGAGTTTGCAGTTGGGAGTCATAAATAATGGCCGCACTCTTCTCCTCTAGAGATACCTTGAAAGATTAAAAGCAAAAAAATCCAAAAGCTTAGTTAGCAAACTCAGCATTAAGAGATGGGAACCTGATAAAACTTCTGTTTATCTGTGCAACATGACTAGACAGAGGAGATGATTTTTAAAAACGGTTTCAGAATCCTTTACAAGTGCCACTTACTTTTGACGTCCTGATAGCACTTAATGCATTTTACAGCAAATAATGAAACTTCCAAAGCTGAATGGTCCTGAACTGGCTTAGTCAGTAATTCAATTTCAAAAGCGAAATAGCCCACAAGAAAGGAAGGAGAAAACAAAACAAAACACAAATCACTGGTACAATTTGACCATTATTATCAGCTTCCCTTGGGCTACAAGAATGGAGGAAAAAGTTCTCTCTCAAAAAAAAACCCACAGGTTGAATTGTTAGAGACAAAAATCCAGTAGTTCCAGACACCTTGGGGTCTAGGGAGGTGGGGGACAAGAGATCAAGTGCCAGCAAACCAGGGCATTCTTGGTGCAGAACAGGTACAGCAGAAGGCTACAGTCAACACACAGCGTGTTGCAGCGGCAAGTGACAATATTACAGGCTCTTAACCTACTATCAGGAAAAAAGTACATGAAATTTCACGAAACAAAAAGAAGTCCATCTTAAAATTAGATACATGAAAAACATTAAAAAAGCTATTTTTCTCTCTTTGCACATTTTGGTGATCTACAGTTTTTCCAATTTGACACTAGCCTTTCACGTCACATGGAAACTAAATTGAGGATATTTGTACCAATTGGTAATACAGTTAAACATAATTATTGCAATTTCCAAAAGGGAGAACAAGTGCCCGCCAGAGGGCCAACACATTATCATTCAATTTTATCTTTCCCGTGGGCAAAAATACAACCCAAAGACCACAGTCATGATTAAATTACATCAGCTAAATAATTTTAAAAACCRCCTTTCTTTTTTTCAGTGCCAATTAAGGGCCCTAGTAGAATTAGTAACACAGACATTTATTGGTTTCATTGATGTTGGAGGCAAAATAACCTGAATGCAGCTCTGTGTCTGCATTAGCCAGCCAAAACTCGTCTCTTTGAGTCATCTAATTCAAAAAAGAAATCACCAAACAAAAACCTGTTTTAATATTCTCAAAGATGATTCCTGAAAACAAATCATTTGGTTAAACTGAAGCTCTAATGCTATAATGATGATGATGATTACTAAATATGATCTCTTGAAGCTTATTATAGTCCTGTCCTACTTAGGCTGTTTTTGTAGTATATTTGCTTGCCAGAAGTAGTTTGCAAACATTATTCAGCTTTGAAATAAAGTACCTACTCCAAAACCTGTATATAAGATGCTTGGTACCTTCCACAAACAATAAAACCTCTCACCCTGTTACACRAGACTGACATATATCAGGAACACAAACGCGACTGAACCTGTGCAAGTGACATCTGTACCGTCAGGCTGAAAGAAAAGGCTTGGGGGACAGTGTGGGGCCAAAATGCTGACATTTACTGAGTTTAATAGCTGAGGACCAATCACTTTTTTCACCAGCCTAAGTGTTAGGAGTTCAGCTCCGCCCCCCCCCCCCCTTTTCCCCTCTTCCCCCTCATAATTAATTCAATATTGAGAAATAACAACAACAAAAATCCAAGAGTAACAACAATAACCTACCTCCCACTCCAGTAAAAGAAACTTTTTTTTTCTTGCTTATAAGCATTAGAAAGCACCAACGTCCCTCTAACATGAGTGTTCTGGGAAGATGAGGACTATATTCCTTCCACCTATTTCCCTCCCGTGGCTTCACACACGAGCAATACTTTGTAAGAAACACTGGTACCATTACTTACTGTGACGCTGTGGACGCCATCGATTTTCCTGACGCGCTGTTCAATGGCCTCAACGCAGGAATTGCAGGTCATTCCCTCCACAATGAGGGCAACAGATTTGGCCTCCATTGTCAAACTCTACTCAGGACTTCACATCACTGTGGGGCAAAAAGAATTCATTAAAATTTTCCCTTTAGATATAGACGTCAAAAATCTGATCAAGGCATCACATTGTGCAAAAGATTAGAGATTAGCTAGATTATTTCTAGCTATTTTCATAGAAAAAACACTTAGACATTTATAATTTGCGCTTAATACAGTCAAGATGATTTAACTGCACATGGCAACGTGCGTGACCTCACACTACAGGGAGAAAAGAGCAAAAGTGAGACACCCCACTCAGGGACTGCTCACGATACAGGATATCACAAAGTACAGGAACCTAAAACGTGGTGATCTCTTTCCCCCACCCCGCCCTCACATTTCTATCTCTTATTTAYTACCTTGATGTATTAAGGGGTGATAGCGACATTATCCTAATATCCTAAGAAATACATCAAGCTTCTTCTACAACTTATTCAGAAAATTCTAACTTCTGCTCTGCTGAAGACTGGCACATTTACTGCTGCTCGTTTAAGCAAGCCTAGAGAAAGAATGAGAAGTTACTGAACAGGGAAGAGGAAGAGAAAAAAGCCACARTAAGCCATCTCACTTTTGACTGCAGTGAAAGCAGCAAAAAATATAGATGACCAAATGAGCAATTAAATTTAAGCATGTGCGTAAGCAGCTTGTTACCTTGGGGATTTAATTAGGGGAAATTTAATTACAGTAAGCATTAGCAGTGTTCAATAATACCAATTTGCTGTCTTCTCAATCAGATTTCAGAACAGCTCCCAGTTACAGATGTTCTGAAAGTTTCATTTGTCTTCACTGAGATATGCTAAAAAAAGGCCCAGAAGTTTGTGAATACTGGGATTATGATCCATCTTGAGAACAAGTTTGCCTCGCTAATGCACAAGACTTATAAAAATTAAACACCGATGCTTAAAAAGAGAAGCAAAGGCAGTACAACACCGTGCCTTACAGTGAAAATCCCCATAAGAAACGATGCCCAGTGAGCTGCTGTGGGTAACAGCGACACGCTGGCGAGACGCTCGCTGCCTCGGTCAGCCCGCAGCACAACCAGAGCCCTACGCTAAGGCCAACCAGGACGCAGTTTTAAACCCRCCTTTTCTGTAATCCACACACCAAGCTAACTGCAGCACCACGTCTGTTCAGGTAAACTAGCGTTAAAACCTTGTAATAGCCAGCGACACGGCTCCTGAATGTCTACCAAAAATGTAGACATCCTGATACATATACAAACAACAGTATAAAGCCTCCGTTTCCTCCCATCTAATGTTATTACAGCTCGATGTCACAGTGAAAAACATTTCYTCCGCTTTTCAGCTTCTTTTCCCACTTGCTGTTCATTTCATACATGAAAAGCTTTTTTTTTTTTTTAAATATTACTTCAAGCTTTCACACTTAAAAGGTATCCTATGGAAAGAGAAAAGCACTCAGAGCTATTCTTTTAGTGGCCTAATGTAACTACGTAAAGTTTGCAAAGTGTCTTCAGTTATGATGGATGGTATTTGCAGAAGTGGAAGGAAAAAAATAATCTGATAGCTGATGACCCCTTAAGTCATGTTAAAATCTCATTATTTCATGATTGTTGCAAGTGCATGTTTCATATAGAGACAGTCTGACCTTTAAAGAACACACCATGAAGGATTTGTTTGATGTAAATAATAAATCAAAAGCAAGCAAGCATTGATTGTTCCACTGCCAAAACCAAAGAGGTTTTGTTCTTTAGGTAATTCAAAGACTGTTCTCTCAGGACCAACTGATCAGGATCCTGTGCCCTTGGGCCCTGAAAACACAGTATGAGAAAGCCTTTCCTGGAAGGGCTTGTAATTCAGAAAAACAAAGAGGTATAAAGACATAAGAGGAAAAAAAAAAAGAATGTATATTCTGCCCCCTGCCCAGTAAAGCCTCAAAGTACCATAASTGATTTCTGAACTTCTGTCTCAGAATTTCTGTGGCATAAAAATGTCTCCGTTCTTAAGCTTTTTATCAGAAAAAAAATACTGGACTTATAAGATTTTTGCATCATTATCACCCTCCACAGGAAAAAGAGACAAACCAAGAAAACAAGGATTTCATTTGTATTTTTGCAAGCTAAAAGTTTATTTTATACTTTAAAGTTTTCTAAAAGGGATGMAGCATTTGTACGGAGCACTGACTCTTCAAGGCAGCTGCATTATATTATTGACRTTGAACAGTTACATTCACAATCTATTCAGGTTTTCCCATAAACCTTTGAGCAGGTTTGCTGAGATTTCTGAATGCTGAGTTTTCTGCATTTCCAGTGTTCTTGGCACTTTAATGAAATCTTGTTTTCAGAGAATACAAGGTTAATGTATAGCAAAAGAAAGAAAAGATTTACCCTTCCTTATCCACTCAAAATTACCAGAATAATGATTTGAGTTTAGCTTAAAAGCTTGTATCTGTAATAGTCTTCCACTGTTCTATATTGCAGGTTGCTTATAATGTTCTCACAATAATAATAATAATAATAATAATAATAATAATAATAATAAATACTGCCCTTCAGATATATCCTGGCTAAAACTATGAGAGAAATATTTTTGTTCAAGCTATTCCCCAACATCATTAACAACAATAAATGCAACAGTAAAGTCTTTAAAAAAACGCTTGTTATATCAATAAATTATCACTAGACACACACAGGCGATGTACAGTATCGACAACATAACCCTAATTCTCCTATATATGTTAATATTTTACCAAGTTTACAGGAAGAAGGCCTGGATGCACAAGTCAAACGATCCACCTGGGGCTGTGCAGCAGGCTGGGAATGCTGGAGCAATGGTCTGAACTTAGAACTTCCTGTTCCTTTGCTTCTGTCACCCATAACAAATTACATATGTGTGTACATATACACACATAAATACCTAGTGATAGGCAGTAGCTCTGAAGGTGACCTCGCAGTCAGGGCTCTGGCAGGATACAGCTGAAACCATAAATGAATGAAAATCTTCTGTAACATCTGAAAAACTATCCAGAGAAATATATTTTATACACTAACACTGTACATCCGYATCACCAAGAATAAAAAGATTGCTAATAAATGATATATAGTTCAAAACTATATAAAACAGATTACTAAATTACGAATCATACTCTGCTTCAGAAAAGAATATTCAAAACCAAATCATAGCTCCACATACAAAACCTCAGTGCTACTTCAGATGTTTGGTGTCAAGTCCACTTGGGAATAACTAGAACTTTGAAGACAGAAGCGGCTGGATGTTTTGCAGACATGGGTAAACAATTTTAGGACTTGGGGGGTTTCCTCCCCATCTTGTTTAACAGCTATGCATTTAGAGCACAAGAAGCCAAAAGGCTTAGGGCTATTAGGGTTATCCTGCAGTAACATTAGAGCAGCTTCATGTCACCAAGAACAGTGACTCAAACAATAGTGAACAAACCCCATAAGAGCTCGTTAGCTCCTCTGTGTTGCCTATTATGCTATTTATTGCCAGGGCCTTYAGAAACTCCCACTTCAGACAGTCTTACACGTGCCATTATGCTTTCACCTGTGTTTTGCAGAACACAAACCAGCAATACCTCCTCGTTTGCACCTTGACACCACCAATACGAGCAGCAGAGAAACTCAGATTCGCATCTCTAAACCAATTTTTTGGGTGTGCTAACAACAATCTCTGGAAGTAAAAATATCTGAAGCAAGATAAGTAAGGTTTGATGAAGTCAAAATTAAGTCACTCAACCTTACACTATGAGAAGAAATGAGTCATGTGAAATGGAAGCTACAGCTCTGGTAAAGCCCTGGACTCCTGTGTTATCCAAATGTCTAGTGTCTGAGCTAATTCAAACATCTCTGTATGACAAATATGCACCATAAAACTGCCCAGCGTTTGTGCTGGATTCAGTAAGAACACGTAACAGCCACAAACATTGCGCGCTTCTCAAAGCGGGGAGAGCTTTTCAGTTTTCAGTGAAGATTTCTATATAGAGCACCTTGAAACTGCAAACCAGCGAGCCTAGCTAAAGCCACACACGAGCAAGATTCAATTCCAGTCTTTCAGACTTGATTCAATTTCTAAATGGCAGAGTCCTACTTTATAGCTTTGGTTACTTTACGGCAGCAGAAAGATAAGTCACTAATTCTATTAAGCAGAAAAATGGTACCTGTCCCTAAAAGCATGCAGAGACGCATGGAAAAAAAAAGCAAACAGCAGCATAAAAAGACAAAGCTGGATTATCTCACCGATGGCTTGGAGCACTACTGACGAAGGGGTTACAGGAAATCTGGTCTAACACAGGAGAACAGGACATCATTATATTCACCTGCAAGCAAAAAAGTATTTGAAAAACATGACTTGATAAAAGAGGCCTAATCTTGGCAGGAGGAAACTGCAGGTCTGCGTCAGGGATGGACAGCGACGCGAGGCTGGGCTGCAGTTCATGTTGCTCAAGAGTTTAGCGAGTTCTGCTCCGTCAGCAGCTTGCAGAAACTGCTTGGAGGGATTTCAGTTCTGGTAAAGCTGGATGGGGAAAAAACCCTCTGCTTCAGCCCTAGCAAGAGCTGGATAACACTTGAGAAAAAAAAATCCCATCAAATCCTCGATCCCGGCCTTAGAGCAACTCTTTGGAGAGCCTGCAGCCTCCAAAGAATCGCAGCAAGCACTGGGAGTGCAGCATAACCCGGACACCTCTGTGTTACCCGAGTGCACCGAGCTCCTCGGGGCTCCCCGCTCTCAGGCTTAGCCTGAGGACACAGGGCAGGACAATGCGCGGCACATTGTCCGTGGGAAACGGGAATAACGCCTGTAAGCGCCAGGTCGCGCGGGCCCAGCCTCCCCCCCCGGCCGGGGGAAGGGGGTCCCCTCTTTCCCTGCAGTGGAGCCCCCTCGGCTGCAATCGCTGCCCCCGACCGGGGCTCTGCTCCCCGCGCCCCCCGCACTTCCCACGGCCAAGCACAGAAGCTGCTTCGTGTCCCCTCTGCCTTCGGGGCTAACGCACGGCGACCATTGCGGGCTACAACCGCGACCTGTGGCGGCCGCGCGGGGCATTTCAGGGGCTGGGCGATGCAGCCGAGCTGCGCCCGGCCCGCGCGGCGCGACACGCGTGTGCGGGGCCCCGCAGAGCTCCTCGCCGCGAGCCCCCAAACCCGCCCCAGGGAACGCCTCTCCGCCCGCGGCCCCCGGCCCGGCCGCACCGCCGCTGCCCCGAGCACCGTGGGGGCCACAGCCGCGTTCCCAGGGCGCATTTCGCTCTGCGAGGAGCCGCCGGGAGGGCCGGGGAAGGCGACGCGCTCCCGCTYCTCCCGCTGCCCTTCCCGCGGGCCGCCCGGCCCCGTCCCGCACCTCGTACCCAGCGCGGCTGCCGGCGGCCGCCTCCGCGGCAGGCGCCATCGCAACGCCCCGCCCCGCGGCCCCGCCCACGTGACGTGGCTGGCGCGCACGTGACCGGGAGGCGCCGCGGCGGTCATGTGACTGCTGCCCTCCCCGCGCGGGAGCCCGCAAGTGAGCCCCGCAAATTGCTGCTAATGAGGAGTCCTCCTAATGAGGAGTCCTCCTAATGAGGCGGCGGAGCGGCCCTGCCGCACTGCGGCGCGGCACCGGCCCGGCCACCACCGCAGCCCGCCCGCGCGCACGGCCTTGTTATTAACACAGCGGTTCTGTAGCTGGTGCTGCAGCAGGGTGTCCAAGTGACCCATCTTTAAAAAGTGTGCACAGTAATTCCTACAGGCACGTGTRTCACTGCTTTAATTAGAAAAGGCAGGTTTCTCTGAACATGGGGATGAGCACTGCTGAGAAACTGCCTCTTTCTTTGAGGCATCTAAATCCAGACTTTAATCAGTAGCTGGTAGTGGAAAGACACAGCACTAAGCAATTTAAAGAGCTCAGAGAGAGACAGCTTAGTTATAGCATGACTTAGAAGGAGAAAATATCCCTCTGTGGGACAAACTGACACCTCAAGCTAAATCATGCACTTGGTAATTTGAAAAGGAGGAGCAGCCAGAGGTATTTATACTGATCTGAATTCTGCGGTGRAGGCACACCTGAAATTGTTTTATTTACACACACACACACACAGAACCTGGGTGTACATTTAGAGAACTACACAATGTTTTGGACTTGCACCTCACCATTTGTCCAGTATCTACTGGCAGGCTTAGCAGAAACAACAGGAACTGTGCAAAATACTGGATAATTATTTGTTCTTTCACACATTTTTGCAGGACACCATACATGAAGCCTAGGAGAGGCAGGCAAGTTTCCAGATAYGTTTATTACATCAAGGAATGCCACAATACAAGTGGTTATCAGGAAACAAATGCCATTACATTGATGGCATGAGCACTGTCTTCACTGAAAGCTTAGATCAGTTCATAATGTATGTTGACAATTACTCTTTCCATTCTTTTGGGGTGACTCTGCCAACAGGTGACAAGCCCCACTCAATTCCAGCTTGTGTTAACACCTGTGGAAGGAGAGAAAAAAAACCAAGAATACTAAGTTCAAAGGCCTTATGATAAAAACTATTTTTTATCATTCTCAATTTACATTTCTCATACTGGAATATAATATGATATGGAATATGAATATGATCCTATTCACCTTTTAATAAAACAGAACAAATACTGAGTAATATTTAAATACTTTAGTTGACTATTCCAAAAYATCTGCTTTTAAAAAATGCATATGGGACGTACAAGAATATCAAGAAATTGAGTTCTTATATATATCCATAAATATTCATCATCACCTATGCATTTTCCTTGTGTTTTAATATATATTTTAATATTTAGCAAAATCTAGTACAATTACAGCCACAATTACAACGGAGTTGTTAAGAAGGAATAAAAGGAAAACTTACATATCCCCAAACAGCAGTAAAGACTACAGCTCCACCGATGAGGACCATGTTGCCATATTTATCATGGAAGTCAGGTTCGTATTTGCGATGAGCGTGTCTTACTGAAGTGTGCTGAATGCCACGAGCTTATTAAAGCAGAAGTTTGTAAGTTAAGTGAAAATACACTACGGTCATTCAGCACCCTCCTCTCCCATTGACAGAACAACAAGCACCAGCATTCTGGACTTATCTTCCTTTTAGGAGCTTAACAAAAGTTCTTTTGGATTTAAGGCCTTGGAATGATTCTGAAATATRGGATGATACGAAAAGCCTTGACATTTAAGCATCAGCTTTTCTGATTTCTCTCTATAAACTTATTTCTGAAATCCTTTCCAGTAATGAAATCCTCTAAATTACCTTTTTAATTGGTATGTTTTCTTTGTTTGCTCAGCATTAAAGTTCAAGCAGTTTGTGTGCTTGGGTGTATTGAAAACATTTACTGGCATTTATAAGCCTTTTTTATACAGTAGAAAGGATTTTTTTTTCCAGAATAAAGTCCAGCATCGAATACATTCGTGGGAGATAGTTGATATAAACAATATCTTTTTAATCTATTCGGGTTATTTTTGAGGGGAAGGGAAGGAGATGGAAAAGAAAGAAAGGAACTAACGCGGGGCCTTGGCATGAGGTAAACTATGCACCACAAATGCAGGAGGGCATCTGTAGGTCACAGGAGACATACGTATAAATTATAACCSTACACCACAATTTATTTAGGAGAAAATAAAACTAAAGTATCAAATCATGAGGCAGAAGAGGAAGGAAAAGGGGGTKGGGGGGTCGCACCCCCCCTCTCTCCCCCTCGAGCCCGGGGGGTCCCGCTCAGAGGCAGCCCTGACAGGAACGGGGCGCAGCCCCCGCCCTCCCGCGGCGCCCCCCGGCTCCAGAGCGCCCCGCTTACCGGCAAGCCTGAGGGCGGCCCTAGCCACGGGCACCATGGTCACCGGCCGAGCAGCGCGTACCCTTGGCGAGCCGTGAAAAACAAAATGGCCGCGCCGGAGGTGGCGCGCCGCGCCGCGGGGCACTTCGGGAGGTGTAGTCCGCTGCGCCGCGCTGTGGCGGCGGGAGCGCCAGGCGGCGGCGGCGGCCCGAGCTGCGCGGCTGCGGGCGCCCCGCGGCCCCGCTCCGGTTCAGCAGCGCCAGGAACCGCTCAGCGAGAGGCTGAGCTGGCCTAGGGAGCGCCGCGGCGGCTGCGCAAGCACCAAGAGCGTCCCCGCAGCGYCTGTAATCACAGTGTCAGGATGGCCGAGTGGTCTAAGGCGCCAGACTCAAGGCGTGACGCGCCTTCCCGCGCAGAGCTGGGTGTTCTGGTCTCCGTATGGAGGCGTGGGTTCGAATCCCACTTCTGACACATCTTTTCTTTCACYAACTTYTAATTTAAAAAGATCAAGTGGAAGRATTTTCTGCAAGCTGGAGCTGCAGGGAGCCTCGCTGTTCYAAAGGGGCTTCTTCATTGTACGCATCCTCAAACAATGATCTGTATCAAAGAAAAACAAACGACCAAGAAAAACGATAAGACTTTTTTTTTTTTTTCTTTTAAGGAAGGAACGACGCTGAAGATTGTACTATAGACGTACCGATTGTTTTCCAAGCACGTGCATGATTTTAGCTCGTGATTTTCCAAGGATTTTGTGATTTTAATATACGGTTCTAGCAACTGCTGCACGCGACCCCCGGGAAGGCGGACACSCACCGCAGTAGCGCGGTGCTCCGCGGCACGTAGCGCGCTGCTGGCGCTGGAGGCAGGGCCAGCCCGGCGAGGCTGCGCTGCAGCGCAGCGTCCCTGACTCGCCGCCGCGCCTCAGACAGCGCCGCCATTACACAGCCCAGCCCGCCACCTCCTTCTCCAACCCAATTAAACACCTCCAGCTCGCCTCGCTTTTATTGGACAGCGAGCGATCGGAGGCGGGGACTACCTATAGGATTAGCCAATAGGAAGGCACTGGCCGTATTATTGGGCCAGTGGGCCACCGGCGCCTTCGGCTGTCAGCCAATAGGCGCGTGGCCGGGGGAAGGGGCAGCCATGGCGGCGCTGCCGGTGCTAGCGCTGGTGCTGTTGCTGGCGAGCGGCGGCCCGGGCGCCGCGGGGCAGAAGCGCAAGGAGGTGAGAGGAGCGGCCGGGCGCGCGGCGCCTCCGCCTGCTCCCTTCTGAGAGTGCGCGCGCGTGTGTGTGTATCTGTGTGTGTATCTGTATATTTTTTTGTCTGTTTAATGTTTTTTGGGGGTGGCGGGTGGAAGGGGGTAGTAGTTCAGTTGTTTGACGTTGCTGCTGTACTGATGGGGGCTGTGTGTATAGAGGAGAAACTTAGCCTGGCTTGGCGTGAACCACAGCCGTGTCTCCTGCCCCCTCYGCTGACTGTTTTTTTTTTCCCTAGCTTTTAAAAAGATTCCTTCTTTGCTTTTACTTTTGTTGTTTTTTAAGGTAATTGATTACTAACTGGTAGCTGTTTCCTTCCCTCCTGAAGAGGAGTGTGTTGGCAATGTTAGGATTAGATAAGTGTTTGATACATACAGTCCATTTTAATACTACTTTGAAGAAAGTGATGGAAGCGACGTATTGCTATCTGCCCCTTTTGGGAGAAGACTTTGCTGTGGAGCAGCYCTGTTTTCTCTGAGATGTGTGCTGAGGGAGGCTTTTCAGCAACCCCCGGCTCTGGTTCTAGGCCCCTCTCCAGGCGCTCTCTGCTGCTCCCTGCCTTCTGGAGCCTCTTGGGGCACAACACGGTGCTCCGTAGGGTATAAAAGCAGGGCCTGTTTTTTGGGGGGTAAAGCCTCTGAAATGGGGCTCCCAATTCGCAGTAAGAGGAAGTGCTCCTGTGCTCGTAGTCTTCATCAAGTTATCTAATACAAGATAGTTATCTAAAGTATTAAAGTGAACACTTTCAATATGGCTTTCAATAGGCTGTGAATGACTTCAATAATCTTAATAGAATGTCAATGTTTTTATGAAATACTGTGCAATAATTTCTTTTGTCATGTATGAAGACCTTCGAGATTGTGATGTTATAGATTAAAAAACTAATGCCTGTTTGTGGTTTTTTTCTCCCTCACACTTTCAGATGGTGTTATCAGAGAAAGTGAGCCAGCTAATGGAGTGGGCCAGTAAGAGATCCGTCATCCGAATGAATGGAGACAAGTTTCGACGCCTCGTGAAGGCACCACCTAGAAACTATTCAGTGATCGTGATGTTTACGGCTCTGCAGCCTCACAGACAGTGTGTTGTTTGCAAGTATGGACTTAATTCAGTTCTAAATTAAACTCTTAAGGTCTTTGTATGCCTTGTGGGATATTAAATGCAAGAAAAAGATGTTTTATTCTYTTAGCACAGGAAAGTACTAGATCATGTTAGAGTAGAATTTTCTCMGAAGTATGTGAGAATAGTGTGTAATATGTAAGTGAAAAAATAATGTAATCCTTAATAATTGCCCTCAKGAAGTCATTATTCCCATTCAGACAGAATATTCCCTCTAAAAGGCTTCTGGAAAAGCATAAGATGGATGCTCTGCTTTCCTGGCAGGAGCTGCTGAGGAAGAAATGCTTGCAGAGTTGCTGTTGGCCTTGCAGTTGGAAAAGTTACTAATTGATTGCTAATTGAAAGTTAAYTAATATTTTGACTAGAGTTTACTTACTTTCTGTGAAAGTATGGATCCTAATATGGATCCTTAAACATATTTTGCTATTCATGTATTAATTCAGAGGAAGCAGAATTCTGTAAAGATGAATTTTGTACCTAGTTAGCTAAAATTAATTTGTTTTCTCCTCTCTGACACAGAGAGGACACCCTTGGGTTAACTTTGGCGCTCTGTAGACTAGCAGGACTTGGGCTGCTCTATTCCACTTCATATGCCTCTGAACACCTCCATGGAAGTGACCACTGCTTGTGGTCACAGGTTGCTTGTCTTTGACCTTGCATTTCAAAAATGGTGGTACCAAATGCTGAATATGGTTGTTAAGTGAATGTCCTGACATTTTTTAAGATCAAAACTTTAAAAAATTAACATAGCTAATGTTAAGGTCTGTAACTTGCATTTGGACAAACATGTCATAGCATTTCACTTTTGTGTATTTTTACAGGCAAGCAGATGAAGAATACCAGATTCTAGCAAACTCCTGGCGGTACTCCAGTGCATTTACCAATAAGATTTTTTTTGCCATGGTAGATTTTGATGAAGGTTCGGATGTATTTCAAATGGTAATACCCTTCCCTGTCTCTTCAGACATGTACTATGGGTGGGAAAAYGCTCTTAAGCTTTATAAAGACAACTATAAAGACAACTGTACTATGCTGCAGTATGCAAATGGGACATGGACAGAAATGAGAGCACATGTTAAGAGACTTCTCAGTGGTGTATTTTTTTTTGTTTGTTTTTAATACAGTTAAACATGAATTCTGCTCCAACTTTCATTAACTTTCCTGCTAAAGGGAAGCCTAAGCGGGGTGACACATACGAACTTCAGGTGCGAGGCTTTGCAGCAGAGCAGCTTGCTCGCTGGGTGGCTGACAGAACTGATGTCAATGTAAGTGTAGATGATTTATCCTTCACGAACCCTTAGCTATTATATGGAAKAGTTACCAATGAAATACACTTTCATTGGGCGGAAGGGGAGAGGTGGGTAAATATACTCTGCTACTCTACATAGACCTAGCTACAAAATCTAGATTGGGTCCCCAAAATTTTTTTAAAAAGTCACTACGTCGTTTGGGATTTTTGGATTGTGTTCTATGCAACGTTTTGTGTTCCCTGTCTGATAAGGTTGTAACTCATCTCCTTTATAATACTCTTTGAATTATTTGGTAAAGTGTGCAAGAGGGTTGCCTGACTAAAAGCGTGAAGAAGCATTAAGAACTTCACTAGAATCAGGTTTATTATGTATTAAACATGTTTTAAACATGTATGTATTAAAATTTTTTCTGTTTTTCCAGTCTAGTACGTAGTGTATTAGGAGTGAGAATATAATGTGTATTTCGGGGAGAAAATAATTTAAATATCTTTTTATCCATAGATTCGTGTGATAAGACCACCAAATTATGCTGGCCCATTGATGTTAGGACTACTATTAGCTGTTATTGGAGGCCTTGTGTATCTGCGTGGAAGCAATCTGGATTTTCTTTATAACAAAACTGGTTGGGCATTTGCAGCTTTGGTGAGTAATTGTAACTTGTTTCTTGTTGTTATGAGACTTATAACAGTTTAAATCTTAATCTATTCTTTTAAAGAAATTCAAATTTGGTAGAGGAAGTTGAGATGTATTTAGCTTTTCTTTTTGATGTAGTGTCTTAGTAATTTTTGATCTTTTTSCTGGTTTAGTTAATGTTTGATTAGATGCCTTTAAGAAAAGAATAAGAAAAGAAAGGACAGTGCAAAACCTTAGGGATGAATTTCAAGCCAATATTTGGTATGAAATGAAAAGAAATTGGTGGAACAAGATACTGCTTGTTGAYTAGTGTTCTTTTTCTTTTTAGTGTTTTGTATTAGCAATGACATCAGGCCAGATGTGGAACCACATTAGAGGGCCACCATATGCTCATAAGAATCCTCATACAGGCCAAGTGGTAAACCAACATTTTTCTTTGTTTACTTATTGTGTAGAAATACAATAGAAACACAGAATAAACCAATACCAAAAGAGAAAAGTCAGAGTGCAAATTCTCTTCCTGTCTTCTTTCTTAGTAAGTCAGTGAGGCTAACCTATCTTGCAGTCAACAGGACAAATTGAAGCTGTGTCTGCAACAGAAAGCAAAACCTTTGTAGTGGTTTTTTTATAGGTGCTTTCTGTCCTTTGTAATAAGCTCCTCTACCCATCTAATAACTCTTATATGAATACATTTTGATGTTCTTGAGATAAATCAGGGATGATGAGTGATCTGTAACTTGTGAAATTGCACTATTGGAAAAAAATAATGACTTGAAATGTACTGCACTGTACATWATATTGCATGAGATTTGTGTCCCTGCTTGAGCAGTGGGGTTGGACTAGATGGTCTCTAGAGGTCCCTTCCA